CACTTGAGCCACAGCCCCACTTTCGGCTTTTTTCTTTTTGCTTATGTGGTGCTGAGGAATTGAACCCAGGGCCTCCTGCATGCAAGGCAAGTGCTCTACCACTGAGCCATCTTCCCAGCCCCTGTGAAACTCTTATTTCCAATAAACCACCAGAAAACCAGAAGTGGCGCTGTAACTCAAGTGGTAGAGCGCTAGCCTTGAGCTGAAGAGTGCAAGGACAGCACTCAGGCCGAGTTCAAGCCCCAAAGAATCTGTGCTCTTATGAAAACAGATCAATCCAGCTGACCTCAAAGGTCATTCCCAGCTCCTAACTGAATAACTTACCATCTTCATCAATGACAAAATCAAAGCCATTCTTTCTGAATATTTCCAGATTTTCTATCAGGATAGCTTCATTGACAGCAGTTAAGTTGAGAGCCTGAGGTCTGGAAACACAGGAGGTTCAAATGACAAACTGGAGCGGTACATTTATTTATAGAATCAAAATGGAGGTGAGACAAGAGTGATCATTGTTATGGTTTGATATGAAGCGTGCCCTAAAAGGCCCAGTAGTGGATGGCCTGGTCCCCCGCTAGTTAAGCACTACTGAGAGAGGCCAGCGCTAAGTTCACCAGTGGGTTCCTTCACTGATGTCCTAGCTCTGAGGGGACTGGGGGTGGGAGGGGGGAGGAAAGGGGAGGACTGGCTGGTGACAGCAGGCCCCAGGGAGCTGTGCCTTTAAAGGGTGTATCTTATCCCTGGACTCCTGTCTCTCTGCTTCCTGGCTGCCATGAGGTAAGCAGCTCTGCTCCAACATCCTCTCTGCCCTGCCACCCTGCCTCATCCCAGCCGAACACAGACTGAAACCATGACCCCAAACCAGTCTACCTTCCTTTAGGTTCCTTTTCTCAGGTACTTTGTCATAACTACAAAAAAACTGACTAATACAATCTTAAACTCTTTGAAGAAACATGAATACTATTCGAAGAATACTATTCTGAGTAGAATACTACTCAGAAGGTTGAGATCCAAGGATTGTGGTTCAAAGCCAGCCTGGGCAGGGAAGTCGGTGAATCGCTTTTCTTCAATGAAACACCAAAAAGCCAGGAGTGGAGCTGTGACTCAAGTGGTACAGCACTTGCCTTGAGTACAAAAGTTCAATGATAGCACCTAGGCTCTGAGTTCAAATCTCAGGAGCAGCACACATATACAAAGAACACTATTTAAGCCAACTGTCACAAATCTTCCTGCAGAGTTCTTTCTAGTTCCTCTTACAAATTACTTTTTTGTTTTTGTTCAGTTGTGGGCTTGAACTCTGGACCTGGGCACTGTCCCTGAGCTCTTCAGCTCAAGGCTAATGCTCTACTCACTTTAAGCCAAAGTGCCACTTCTAGTTTTCTAGAAATAAGCATTTCATTGGACTTTCCTGCCTGGGCTGGCTCTGAACTGTGATCCTCAGATCTTAGCTTCCTGAATAGCTAGGACTACAGGCATGAGCCACCAGTGCCTAGCCAAATTACTTTTTAGAAGTTACAGAAGTTATGAAGTTTCCTTTCTCCTCAACCTACTATCCCATTCTCAGTTTGAATTTTCTCTTCACAAGAAAGAAAATTTGATTTTTTTTTCTTTTGGACATAAGACCTCATAAATACCCTAGGGAAGTCTGTAATTCAAGATCCTCCTAAATGCTAGGATTAAAGGCATACGCAATCATGCCTGGCTAGTAATTTAAATGGCTGGGGCCAGTCATTACCAATATTTGTACACAGTGAATACAGAACGAGAATTTTTCTATCCTGTTCTTCCTCTGCTGTATGCTTCCCTTTCTCCTACTAAATTTGTGGGGATCTTAGGAAGACAAACATTGCTAAGGGCAGGAGAGGGAGCAGACACAGCCTTGACCTCTGCCTTCTGTTAGTGGGGAAGCAAACATTGAACAAAGAGGCAAACAATCAGTTATGACCAAAAGTGAGTCAGGATGGAAGATGCCAGTGCTGTAAGAGCATACAGTGAGACTTCCCTGGAGTCAGAGAAGGGACCTCGGGGGTAGTGACCAGGGGCTGAGCTCTGGAGATGAGCTGGGGTTAATAAGATTGGGAAGGTTGGAAAGGGGCTCATTTTCCTGCCAGAGATGATTGCCTGAGGTCTCCAGAGTTCCTGTGATTTCCTGGAGCCACACACAAAGATTCACTCCACTCTATTCTGTTGGGGTCTGAGTTCGTTTCTCTACAGAGTTTAATCTCCCCAAAGTAAACCCATGACCTCTCCTTATAATCATATGTACACGCATACATACATGCACATGTATGCACATGCACACATACACACAGTGTTGACTGATGCACTCACGCAATGAGCCTCTGTGCTTGGAGTACTGTGTGACGCTGCAGCATCTCGAAGTTGTACTTCTCATCAGCTGCATGCTGGTCCACCAGGAAGATGTCCTCCTTCAGCTTGGTTATTATGAACCCCAAGTTAAACTGACCAAGCACCTCCATGTCTGCAAACATTGATTTACTGCACACGGAAAACATTCAATGCGACATGTGAGGTGACCATTGAGATCTAGAACAAAACTTAAATGTTAAAACCTAACACACATTTCTGCTTTGCTGATAGGTCATTTGAGGAGGTTGGGCAGCACTGTGGGAAAAAAATGTATCAAACATCTACAGTATCCATGATAGAGTATGAAAAGAGACTGAGTGCTTGTGAGTAGTGTAGTGGGAACCGCTATGCAACCTGCTCCACACACACATGTGGTGAGTGGCAGATATATGCACTGACTCCTATAAGGCACATCTAAGTGTAACTTTCCAACAGAAGGCTTCCAGACCCTCTGGCTTGCCTCAACAGCAGCCCCATTGCACACACAAGGGTCAATTGTAACCAGTTTTTGGGGTTTTTTTGGAAAGGAATCTGTAAGGGTTTGCACACCCTCCAACAGGGCATATAGCACTTAAGTCAGTATCTGAATGACACAAGGAACTATTTTTGGGGGGACTCACAGCGTATCTTCGGAAATGGAAGAGACAATGTCTGTCCTTACCTGGCTTTCTCCTCTTGGTCTTCCCCTACTTTTGTTGGTGCCAGTCCTGGGGCTTGAACTCAGGGCCTAAGCACTGTTAGCTCAAGGCTAACACTCTATCACTTGAGCCACACCTCCACTTCTGGCTTTTTGGTGGTTAAGTGGAGAAAGAAATGTTATGGATAAAAGAATAGCCAAGCATATTCCAGCAAAGCTAAGGTCCAATCTGTGGAGTTGACAGCAACTCTAATGTTAGGATTTCAAGGAGTCAGTAATGAGGAAGAAGGGAGAATCCCCTGCCTACACAGGCAGCAAGCCAGCAGTCATACCCTGTCACTCCTGGGGGAGGGCCGCCCACCAGACTGAGCCACAGAAGCTGCTCTCTGTGTAGAGCAAGAACAAAGAGAAGCGGAGATACACAGAGGAGCCAGGGCTGGGTCCCTATCATGAGCCCCTGGTTCCCTCAAAATGACCAAAGCATGGCTGTCCACAATCCCACTGACAACACACCTTACCTTATCTCTTTTCTTAGTTCATCTTCTGCTGCTTGGTTTTCTCCTGGACAGATCCTTGCCCTGAATTTCCTGTAATTCGGTTGGCTTTCCCTTGGTTGTCTTTGGCAATTCAACTGCTTTATTCGTGTAGCTAAAGAGCTCATAGAAAAGGTGAGGAGCACTATTTTCTTACTAATTGTCACAGCCACATCCACTTGGGCTGCTGAGGCATTCTCAGTGGTAGCTGACTTTGGGGGAGTGTTGGTATTTGAGGGAATTTCTTTTTTAAATCGCTTAGCACTGGAGGAGGAGAGATGTGTCTGAGGAGGCAGAAGTTGACAGGGGCCATCTTTTTCCTTCCCCGACTCCCCAGCTGAAGGGGGATGGTCCAGTTCAGGTAGATTCTCACCAGAGTCCATGTCTCCTTGTGAAAATCTGTCTTCTGGGGAGCTCTGTGCATGGTCACTACTGCTACTGCCCACTTCCCGGGGGCTGAACCCTTCCTCTGGGGCAGCTGATGTACTGGTGTACCCCGAGTCTTTCCCCACTTCCACTCTGTCCCCACGGCCATCCGAGTCCTTGGGAGTCACCACCTCTTCCAGAGGGCCCTGCAGGCTTCTGCCAGAGGCAGGATTGGAGGAACTAGAGGGTACCCTCTTTTTCTGTATTGGAGAATTCCATCTCAGTTCAGGAGTCCTTGGGCCTGGAGATTTGGTCTCTGCAGGATGACGAAGAGAAAAGGCCTCTCTCAGCCTGGAAATGGACACAGACCTTTTGTCTTCTTCCTGAGTGCTAGACGAAGGAGGACTGTCTGGCATAGGTGTTTCCACTTCCGTCCCACGCATCTTTATCAAGTTACCTGGGCCCACAGGAGCAGAGATGATCAGGGAGAGTACAAAGCAGGACAAAAGGACAGTTCTGCATTCACAAAGGAGGAAGCGCAAACATCTGATCAAATATGCAAACACCAGCTGATCGCTGGTGGCTCATGCCTGTAACCTCAGCTACTCAGAAGGCTGTGATTTGAGGATCGCAGCTCAAAGCCAGCCTGAGCAGGAAAGTCTTGAGACTTTTATTTTTTTGTTGGTCATGGGGCTTGGGCAGTTTCCCTGTGCTCTTCAGCTCAAGGCAAGCGCTCTACCGCTTGATCCTCAGCATCACTTCCGTTTTTCTAATGGTTTATTGGAGATAAGAGTCTCAGAGACTTTCCTGCCCAGGCTGGCTTTGAACTGTGATCCTGAGATCTCAGCCTCCTGAGTAGCGGGAATTACAGGCATGAGCCACCAGTGCCTGGCCAAGTCTTGAGACTCTTATCTCCAATGAATTAGCAAAGAGTCAGAAGTGGTAAAGTGCCAGCCTTGAGAGAAAAAAGCTCAGGGACAGAGTGGACTCTGTGGTCCTGTGCCAGTACTGGCACAAAATTAATTAATTAACTAATGAAGAACATCCAAAGCTGATCATGAAAGGGTTGCAAATTGAAACCCCTTTGCACAACATCAGGACAATTTAAAATGTTAATAAAATTTAAAAGGGGATGGCAGTTACAATGTATGCACACCCATGGCCAGGTATGGAGACTCCAACTGGAGCTGGAAGGTCCCTCAGTGCCTGGCAAATGCACTGTCACAGTTCATCAAGAACCTCCAAGGGTCACAATGTAGCTTGCCTAGAATTTGATGCCTAGAATTCCCCTTCCCCCTCAATAAAGAACCTTTGATATCTAAGTAGAATACTATACAAATGTAAAAATGAATCAAGAGCCACACGACCTCATGAAACTCATAACAAATAACAAGGAAGGTCAGATGGAATGACTTCAAAGTCAAAAGTAAATGAAGCCAGGCCAGCTGGCATCTGACTATCATTCTAACACTTGGGAGGTTGAAGTTGGAGGATGATGAGTTCAAGGCCAGCCTGGGCTGCAGAATGAGACAGTGTCTCAAAAACCAAGCAAAAAGTAAACTAAACTATGCCACTAGAGGTCAGGAAAGTAGCTAGCACTGGGGGTTAGTGCAGAGAAACAGATACCAGGCACTTCTGCAGCTCATGGCAGAAACACTGATAATTTATATATAACAACTGTTTCTGCCTGTTGCTACACTTCAATAATACAGCTAAACAATGGGCGTTGGTTCAACGGTGCTTGTTTTCTTGTTTTACCATGTTTACAAGGTTTTATTATGTAGCCTAGTCTGGCCTTGAATTCATGAGCCTCCTGATTCAGCCTCCCAAGTACTGCAGTTATGTTAAAGTTTCCAGTTCCAGGGTGGCCCAGACACCTCCATTACGCATGCTCCTTAAGTGTGTGCTGCCCACTGCCCTCCATGGTGCCCTGTACCTGCACCCAGAAAATGGACCGGGATGCCAACGACTCTGCCACACAAACCCAAGTTTCCTCTGCTCCCTCTCATGCCTGGCAGCCCACTGCCCCTTCAGAGCCCAGGCCTCAGTTTTGACTTTTGGCTTTCTAGCATCATTGTCCTTTCATAATATTTTCGATTTTCCAATGACCCTGTAAAATTCACTGTGGTTCAACTTTACAAAAAAAAAAAACCAACCTGTACAATTAGTGTCATTTTACAGTTTATCGCTAATGATATTTAATAATCTCATTATAGTATCATATAAATATGTCCCTTTTTTCTATTTTTACTGGTACTAGAATTTGAACTCAGGGCCTCACATTTGCTCCGTTTGCTTGCTCAGCTGGTGTTCTACCACTGGAGTCATGACTCTAGCCCAGCATTTGGCTGGTTATTTTGAAGTTGAAATCTCACAGACTTTTGCTTTGAATATCAATTGTCCTCCTGAACAGCTGTAACATATCCTAAGAGATGCTAAAAGTGTAACCTTGGAAATAAAAGAGACATATCAACAATACCTGATCAAAGTGGTTTTTTTTGTTGTTGTTGGTCATGGGGCTTGAACTCTCGGCCTGAGCACTGTCCCTCAGCTCTTCAGCTCAAGGCTAGCTATCATTTGAGCTACAGTTCCACTTCCTGTTTTTGTTTTTCTGGTGGTTTATTGGAGATAAGAGTTTCACAGACTTTCCTGCCCAGGCTGGCTTTGAACCATGATCCTCAGATCTTAGCTTTCTGAGTAGCTAGGATTATAGGCATGAGCCACTGGTAACCAGCTTGATCAAAGTTTTATCGATTCTTTTCTTTTTGTTCTGAGACTGGGACTCGAACTTGGTACCTGATGCTTTGCTCATTGGCAGGCACTCTATCAACACAGCCATGTGTCTCTGATCCCAGCTGATGGAAGTTTTCTTTTCTTTTCTTTTTTTTTTTTTTTTTTGGGTCCAGTCGTGGGGCCTGAACTCTGGGCCTGGGCGCTGTCCCTTAGCTCTTCAGCTCAAGGCTAGCGCTCTACCACTTGAGCCACATGCCACTTCCGGCTTTTTGCTTATGTGGTGCTGAGGAATCGAACTTAGGGCCTCAGGCATGCAGGGCAAGCACTCTACCACTGAGCCACCTTCCCAGTCCAAAGCAAGGCATTTTTATCAAGCTTCGCTAAGTTTACTACCACTTTATTGACATGTGCTGATATAAACTGTACAGTCTGGTAGGTCTTGACACATGTTTATATCACCAAACACACACATTCACCTATGAAATTATCCATTTAAAAATGACAAGAAGTTTCATTATGCAGGGATGATGGTGTACCCCATAAAAACACTAATGCTCAGAAGCTACAGACAGGAGGGTCACAAATTCAAGGCCAGTTTGGGCTACATGGCAAATTTCAGATCAGCCACAGCTACATAGCAAGATCATGTCTCAATACAAACAAAGAAGCTTCCTCATGTCCCTCAGAGAAGTATTTTTTTTAATCATGTTTCCCAAAGTTCATTTTTTTCCAGACTAAACTTTTAATAAAATACAGGTGCAATTTTAATGTTTAAAAAGCACATTTAAATACTTAGAAACATATTTCTAGCTGATGGCAGTGGTTCAGGCTTGTGATATAACTAATCAAGAGGCCTCCATCTGGACAATTGAAGTTCAAAGCCAGCCTGGGCAAAAAATTGTGAGATTTCATCTTCCAAATAACCAGCCAAAGGCCGGGCTTGAGTTATGTCTCTAGTTGTAGAGGACCAGCTGAGCAAGCAAGATGAGCAAATGATGCAGAAGGAAAAAAAAAAGGGACATAACTTATATGACATTGTATGAGATTATTAATTATCATTAGAGATAAACTATAAAGTGACACTGATTATAATATAGGTTAAAAAAAAAGTTGGGGCTGGGAATGTGGCTTAGTGGTAGAGTGCTTGCCTAGCATGCATGAAGCACTGCATTCAATTCCTCCGTACCAAATAAACAGAAAAAGCCAGAAGTGGTGCTGTGGCTCAAGTGGTAAAGCTTGCCTTGAACACAGAGAGGCTCACAGTGCCCAGGCCCTGAGTTCGAGCCCCAGGACCAACAACAAAAAAAAAAGGTTGAACCATAGTGAATTTTAAAGTGTCATTGGAAAATCGAAAATATTACTGAGGCACAAAGATGCTAGAGAGCCCAAAGTCAAAACTGAACCACTAAAACCCCACATAACCATATAGCAATGGCCAGTTTCAGACGGAGGCAGAGGTAATCTGCATCCCTATTTTCTGGGAAAGTAAACAGAATATAGACACATGCATGTGATCAGTTTATATTGCAAAGTACAGATGTAGGCATATGCTTTGAAATATCTACCTCCCTCACATTGTGTAGTTCATACATGCTTACAAGATTTGTGCAAATCTGAAGCCAGGCACTGGTGTCTCATGCCTATAATCCTACTTACTGAGGAGGCTAAGATTAGAGAATCATGGTTTGAGGCCAGCTGGGGCAGAAAAGACTGAGACTGTTATCTCCAATAAACTACTCAGAAAAAGGTGGAAATGGTGCTATGGGTTAAGTGGTAGAGTGCTACCTTGAGTACAAAGAGGCTCAGGGACAGCACCCAGGCCGAGTTCAAGCCCCAGGACCTGCAAAAATAACTACAAAAGAAACATTTATGCAATCTGAAGAGAAACCTAAGTACTCTTATAGATTTAAACATTCCTACCTTTAAATATTTTTATGTATTTACACATATATGTATACATACATGTACTATTGAAAACAGCTGATTTTCTTTTTTTTTTTGTCGGTCGTGGGGCTTGAACTCTGGGCTTGGGTGCTGTCCCTGTGCTCTTCAGCTCAAGGCAAGCACTCTACTGCTTGAGTCACAGTACCACTTCCAGCTTTCTAGTGGTTTAATGGAGATAAGAGTCTCACGGAATTTCCTGCCCAGGCTGGCTTTGAACCACAATCCTCAGATCTCAGCCCCCTGAGTAGCTAGGATTACAGGTGTGAGCCACCGGCGCCCAGCCAGCTGACTTTCTTAAATATATAAACTATATTTGGTATTGGTCCTAGGGCTTAAACTCAGGCCTGGGCCCTGTCCCTGAGCTTCTGTGCTAAAGGCTACCACTCTACCACTTCTATTCAGATCTTAGCCTCCTGAGTTGCTAGGATGGTGCTTGGTTTAAATAAGATAATGCAAAGGCATGTTTCTTAGTTCTAAATTCCTTGAAAAAAAATTATGAAATAATAAAACTCAAAGATCTAACAATAAACTGCTACAAAAAGCTCTGTACATACCTTTGCTGGGTCACAAGGCCGATGATTGATGAAAAAGAATTGCCGGTCAGTGGCACTCCTCCCAACGCCGTGCGTGCAGCGGGAGATGAAGCCGGAGATGCTGGGGGTGGTACCATGTGAGCAGGATTAGAACACTGAGCATAGAGCAACTTCTCACCATCAAATAAAAACCAGACAGGGCTGGGGAATAATTCTGCTTGTGTCCTGGTACCTGTGTTCCACCCTAACAAATCACAGACAGCACCCAGACGCTCTGCAGCAAACAGCCCCAAACCCAGCATAGGTAACGTGGTTGGCTCACGACTGCTTCAATTCTGCTTGCCTTCCCTTGGTGCCTACATCAGGATCAGGCCTTGTTCCAAACACACAACCTTTGGCCTGCACATTGACTCCACTAGCTTGTCAGTGGGGTGTAACCAACCACTTATATCCCAGATCTGCAGTATTCTTGTTTTTCTTTTCTTTTCTTTTCTTTTTTTTTTTTGCCAGCTGTGGGGCCTAAACTCTGGGCTTGGGCGCTGTCTCTCAGCTCTTCAGCTCAAGGCTAGCGCTCTTCCACTTGAGCCACAGCGTCACTTCCAGCTTTTCCTCTACTTATGTGGTGCTGAGGAATGGAACCCAGGGCCTCATGCACGCAATGCAAGCACTCTACCAATGAGCCACCTTCCCAGCCCTTGTTTTTCTTTTCTTTTTTGTTGGAGGAACAAAGGACTCGAACTTGGTACCTGATGCTTTGCTCATTGGCTGGTGCTCTACCAATCCTCTTTTATTTTGGCTGGTTGTGGGGCTTGAACTCTGGGACCGGGCATTGTCCTCTCAAGGCTAATGCTCCATCACTTTGAGGTCACAACTCCACTTCTGGTTTTCTGGTGGTTAATTTGAGATAAGACTCTCATGGATTTTGTTTGCCCAGGCTGGCTTTGAACCAGGATCCTCAGATCTCAGCCCCCTGAGTAGCAGGGTTACAGGTGTGAGCCACCAACGCTCAACTCTTTTGTTTCTTGAGACAGGGGCCTGCTATGTATCCCCAGGAGGGTTCTAGAGAGCTAGAATTACATGTATGTGATACCATGCCAGCAATCTTTCCTTTTAAAATGTGCTCAGCCAGCAAACTTACACTTAACTGAGGTGCTGGTGACGTGCCTGTGGGACAAGCTCTTCCTCAGGGATGCCTGAGTTTGCATACGAACAATTCCTGAACTGACAGAAATGGATTTCCAGCTTTGAAATTTAGGCACCAAGCAAAATCAAGTAGAAGAGTAAGCAATATGGCTGTTGCCAGGGACAGTGCCACTTGAAAGTGTCTACTTTTCATGTACTACAAATAGATACTGGACATCCTTCATTAGATCCCCAAAAGCCATTCCAACACCCCCAACAAATCGGAATGCAGCAGGAGCATGAAACATGCCATTATCCAGAATACTGTTAATGGAACTGAACAGTAGCTGAGTCTTTTATCTAAATCTCTCAGTAAAAGGATTGCCCCACAACTTTATAAAGAATAGGAAAGGTATAGGCCCCAAAATAACAATTACATACATTTTTTTTTTTTTTTGGTCAGTTGTGGGGCTTGAACTCTGGGCCTGGGCACTGTCCTTCAGCTCTTCAGCTCAAGGCTAACGCTCTTCTACTTGAGCCACAGCACCACTTATGGTCTTCTGGTGGTTTACTGGAGATAAGAGTCTCATGGACTTTCCTGCCTGGGCTGGCTTTGAACCCTGATCTTCAAGATCTCAGCCTCCTGAGTAGCTAGGATTATAGGCATGAGCCACCGGCACCAGGCTCGATCATATATACTTTTAAAATAATAAAGATTTGAAGGAAGCCAGGCACTGGAGGCTCACACCTGTAATCCTAGCTACTCAGGAGGCTGAGATCTAAGGATCATGGTTCAATGCCATCCCGGGTAGGAAAAGTCCGTGAGACAATTTCGTCAGTCTTAGAGCTTGAACTCTGGTCCTCAGTGCTGTCCCAGTCTCAAGGGAACCCAGCCCTTGAGACCCTTATCTCCGATTAACCACCAGAAGATCAGAAGTGGCACTGTGGCTCAAGTGGTAGAGCACTAGCCTTGAGTTGAAGAGCTCAGGGACAGTTCCCAGGCCCAGAGTTCAAGTCCCAAGATTGACAAAAAAACAAAAATAAAAAAAAACTTGAAAGAAAAATTGGCTGGAGTTTTCCTGGCAGTGATTTACTTACTAAAACAGATTGTGCAGCGCCTCGGAACAGCTAAGGCCATACTCTTCACAGACAGAGTCACTAGGGGGCAGCTGAATGAAAGGAATGAGGCTTTGTAGCTGAAAAAGACAAGAGTCGCAATTATTTCCTACTTAAGTGCAAACACACTGAACCTCAGAAAAGATGATAAACCAAGTTTTCTTTCCCAGTTAAGCTTCTCCCATTTAAAACTAAAGAAACTCAAAGAATCTTAGTAAATACTTTATAGTACTATGATGACACCAATTTTTTAAAGAAATTCAAATTTTTAAATATAATGTTATTATTTTTATGTGGTATTGAGGAATCGAACTCAGGGCCTCATGCATGCCAGGCTAGCACTCTACCATTAAGCCATATTCCCAGACCTGATGACACCAATTTTTTTTTAATTTTTATTTATTTTTTTGTCGATCATGGGGCCTGAACTCTGGGCCTGGGCACTGTCTCTCAGCTCTTTAGCTCAAGGATAGTACTCTACCACTTGAGCCACAGCGTCACTTCAGCTTTTTCTGCTTAGGTGGTGCTGAGGAATTGAACCCAAGGCCTCATGCATGCAAGGCAAGCACTGAGCCACCTTCCCAGCCGATGACACCAATTTTTATGACCAAGACTTGAACTCCTCTTTATTAAAAATCAACTCTGAGAGGCTAGGAAGGTGGCTCAGTGGTAGAGTGCTTGCCTTGCATGCATGCATGAGACTCCCAGGCCCAGAGTTCAGGCCCTACAACCAGGAAAAAAAAAAAATCAACTCTGAGATCTGGGAATGTGGTTTAGTGGTAGAGTGCTTGCCTGGCATGCATGAAGCCCTGAGTTCAACTCCTCAGTACCATATAAATAGAAAAAGCTGGAAGTGGCTCTGTGGCTATAACAGAATGCTAGCTTTGAGGGAAAGAAGCTTGGGGACAGTGCCCAGGCCCTGAGTTCACACCCCAAGACTGGCACCAAAAAAAAAAAAAATTAACTCTGAATGAGGAGGATCAAGATGGCTGAATATTGTCAAAATAGATTTGCAACAACGAAATGGAAGAAGGCGGGGCTGGGGATGTGGCTTAGTGATAGAGTGCTTTCCTAGCATGCATGAGCCCTGAGTTCAATTCCTCAGTACCACATAAACACTAAAAGACAGAAGTGGTGCTGTGGCTCAAGGGATAGAGTGCTAGCCTTGAGCACTCAGGGACAGCACCTAGGCCCTGAGTCTAAGCCCCAGGACTAGAAAAAAAGAAAAAAGAAAAGAAAAAATGGAAGAAGGAAATCTTTTGGTATTTTTGGAGGGAAAAGAGGCAGGGAGTGTGGTAAAGGGGATGAAACTGACTGGAACTCAATGCAAATGTGTGGATCTGTAAAGATAAAAGTATCCCTCCCCCCATAACTAACATAAGCCAATTAAAAAATATTAAATGACACAACAAATAAATCTTACAAACAGTAAAAAATATATAATAAGCCAGGTATTGGTGGCTCATGCCTATAATCCTAGCTACTCAGGTGGCTGAGATCTGAGGATCACGGCTCAAAGCCAGCCCAGGCAGGAAAGTCTGTGAGACTCTTATTTCCAATAAACCACCAGAAAACTGGAAGTGGCTCTGTGGCTAAAGTGGTACAACGCTAGCCTTGAGCTGAAGAGCTGAGGGACAGTACCCAGGCCCAGAGTTCAAGCCCTATAACCAACAACAACAATATATATATATATATATATATGATATATAATATATATGTGATATGCATTATAAATGTATAGTTTTATATATATATATAAAATAATTCTGACTATGACACTTTGTTTAGTAAGGGAGAGAATGAAGAATACAATGTTCCAGTCTCTAGAAGAATGAAATTTAAGATTTTAAGCACTAACTTTTCTGATAAGCAAAAATTCAGTTCTTGCCAGGAGCTGGTAGCTCATATCTATAATCTTAGCTACTCAGGAGCCTGAGAGCTGAGGATTGAGGATCTGAGGATTGAGCCAGATCAGGGTAAGAAAGGCTGTGCGATTCTTTTTTTTTTTTTTTTGGTCGGTCGTGGGGCTTGAACTCTGGGCCTGGGCGCTGTCCCTCAGCTCTTCAGCTCAAGGCAAGCGCTCTACCACTTGAGCTACATGCCACTTCCGGCTTTTTGCTTATGTGGTGCTGAGGAATCGAACCCAGGGCCTCATGCATGCAAGGCAAGTGCTCTACCACTGAGCCACCTTCCCAGCCCCTGATGGAAGTTTTAAAGGTGTTGCACCACTGCATGTTCCGTACCTTCAACACTCAGCAGTGCCTGTTGGTTGACACTGAGTTTGTTCACATCACTATCGAACATTCCTATGAGCGAAGTCTTTAACACAGCCAGTAAAAGCTTCTCTTCTTGCAGCAAAATTTGCCTCTTATCTGGAGTTACATTGATATCCACACACTCTAGGCAAAAACAGACAACACACTTGTGACATTCAAATCCATCTTTAACAAGAAGTTACACAGCTACCATCTCATTCACTGCCTTTTATCAAAAATGCAATTCAAAACACTAATATCAAGCCGGGTGCCAGTGGTTCACGCCTATAATCCTCGCTACTCAGGAGGCTGAGGTCTAGGATCACAGTTCAAAACCAACTCAGGGAGAAAAGTCTATGAGACTCTTATCTCCAATTAACCAACAGAAAACTGGAAGTGGTGCTATGGCTCAAGTTGTAGAGCAGTAGCCTTAAGCTGAAGAGCTCAGGAACTGCGCCCAGGCCCAGAGTTCAAGCCTCACAACCAACAAAAAACAAATAAAACACACACACACACACACACACACACAAAACACTAGTATAACCCAGAAAACTCATCTTTTCCCCAAAACACATGGAAGATGAACTTTTTTATTTTTATTTTTTGCCAGTCCTGGGGCTTAAACTCTGGGCCTGGGTACCGTCCTGTCCCTGAGCTGCTTTTTTCTCAAGCCAGGGCTTTACTGCTGAGGCACAGTGCCACTTTTTCTGCAATTAACAGTAGATAAGAGTCTCATAGAGCCAGGCGCCAGTGGCTCAGGCCTGTAATCTTAGCTACTCAGGAGGCTGAGATTTGAGGATCATGGTTCAAAGCCAGCCCGGGCAGGAAAGTCCATGAGACTCTCATCTTCAATAAACCACTAGAAAACCGGAAGTGGTGCAGTAGCTCAAGTGGTAGAGTGCTCGCCTTGAGCTGAAGAGCACAGGGACAGTGACCAAGCCCAGAGTTCAAGCCCCATGACGGACAAAAAA